AAGCCCCCCCAGATGTCCCCAAGGGGACCCAAAGCCACCTCAGATGTCCCCAAGGGGCAGAGCTCCACCATGGAGGACTCAAAGCCCCCCCAGATGTCCCCAAGGGGACCCAAAGCCACCTCAGATGTCCCCAAGAGGACCCAAAGTCATTGTGGGGGTTCCAAACCCCCCCCAGGTGTCCACAAGGTCCCGGAGCTCCCCTAGACGTCCCCAAAAAAACTCTTAAGCCACCCCGAGATGTCCCCAAGGAACTGGAGTTCCACCATGGAGACCCCGAAGCACCCCCAGATGTCCCCAAAGCCCCCGAGATGTTCCCAAGGGGCCGGAGCTCCACCACAAAGACCCCAAAGCCCCCAGAGATGTCCCCAAAGCCCCCGAGATGTCCCCAAGGGCCCGGAGCTCCACCACGGAGACCCCGACGTCCCCCCCCAAACAACCCACAACCACCCCAGATGTCCCGTAACCACCTCAAGGACGTCCCCAAACTGTCCCCGAGCGCGTCGAAGGGGCGGAGTTGGGGGTGGGGATCTTTTAAAGGGAAAAAAAAAAGGTCCTTTCTGCATCCATGTAAAGATAGTCAGAAATTTCTGAAGAGGGAAGCATCCTGCATCCACATCTCTAGTCATCCTGGTGAAGCCCTTGGGCTGGGTGAGAGGCAGAGGTTTCCACTCAAGGGGCTGAGCAGGGAATAGGTGCCAGGAACATCTGACCAGATGTAGAGGCTCAGCCACGCCCCTGCCCCCCTGATGCTGGGCCAGGGAAGGAGAGACGAAAGGCAGACAGTGCGTGGCAGAGTGCTTAGTCATATTCCCAGGAACTGGCCTGCATGTACTGCTCAGTGTCTCTGAGGCTGTTTATTAGTCATGTTATTTATTTCTCAGGCCATATCAGATGCTCAGCATGACCCTAGTGCTGCTGCAGGATGAGCTCTTGTCTGTTGGCAGAGCCATGTCCTTTTTGCTGCAGGTACCTGTGCAAACTGGCAATGAAGCCAGCAGTCTCAGGTGCTTGTGCCTCATTTTGCAATTTTATCACCTTCCTAAAATTGCAGTTCTTAGCTTTCTTCCTTATTTTCCACATTAATCCCAAAATACATCCACCTCCACTTTCTAGGGCTGAACACTCATCCCATTGGTGCCAGCCTTGGATGGGCCAAGTCAGGCCTTGTGCTGGGCACTGGCTCTTGGGCAGAGCTGCTCCCCACCTGCCCCTCACCCTGCCTGGGGCACAGCCTATCTTGAGGCTCTCCACCACTCCTCCATCTCCCTGGGGACCAGCGACTTGGGAATAAACAGTTAGGTTTGCTCAGATCATCCTAAAGCAAAAGAAGGAATAGGAAAAAAAAAAAAAGCAAGTAAAAAAAGACATCAAGGGAAACTAAAGCCAGACAAGACTTAGTAATGATCCCTGTGGTAGGCAAATTCTTGATGCACTGGTGTGTCCTAGGCTGGTCAAAAATGAGGGGCCAGGAGCTCTTTTCCATCCCAGTCCTCCCAGCCTGGCCCCAGGGAGTGAAGAGGTGAAGAGGAGGAGAGCCTGCCAGAGTTGGGAAGCTGCCCATTCCTTCATGGTACACCTGCCATGGGTGCCTGTTAAAAGTTGCTATTTTTGTAAGCCAGGTTTTGCTTTTGAGAAAACATTTTCATTCTGTTGATAAAGCAAAATAAGATAGGTGGGAAATGCATTGTTCCAGCTCTGTACGTGCAGCTCCCTCCACAGCAGCATTACTCCTCAAGGGGAAAATCTCACTTTAAAGGACTAGATAAAATGCAGCTATGGTTTATGCACGGAGAGCAGCAGCCAAATCCTTGGTTTTATTGACATTTTATTTCTTGGGGGGAAATGTGTGCAAGCAGTGGGGTTTCCCCTTCTCCAAAGCAACACCTTGCTCTGATGTCCAGGTTGGGGCATTGACTGCTCTGATGAGCACTTCCCTCCCTCCCACTCCATTTTTTCCATTGGTTTGAGTCACTGCGGGCACCCCTGGTCCCCTTGTCGAGCAATGACATGTCCCTGCACCTGTGCCCCAGGCAAGGGTGATATTCAAGAGAAATAAGGACAGTCAGTCATATCACTGGCAGGCAGTCTCCATCACAGGGGATTTGGGAAGTGGGCACTCACAGACTAATTGGGTCCTGTCCGTGGGAGCAGAAAGCCAGGCCCTCACAGATCTGCAGTGACCGCATGTGTCAGCACCAGGCTGTTACCCATGTGAGATGCCCAAGCACAGGTGCAGGGCATCTTTGTTAACTGTGCACAAGACAAAGATGACTTTGCTCCCTCCCCCTCTCTTATTTCTTTTTAAAGCTTCCCTTAATCTTCCTTTCTAGGAAAACAACAGTGCTGGTTCTTTCAACATCCTACAGGTCATGTTTTCCAGCACCATACATTACTGTGACATATGGTGACAGCGCGGAAGAAATGGGGCTGCTGAGCACAGAACATCTCACATTCAGGTTTATAATCCAGCAGCTTTCCAATCTTTTTTTTTTTTGTTTTGCAGACCCTTATATAGTTTCTAGTAGCAATAGTGGCAGCCTATGTGGTCACTTTTTGTAAACATGGTGAAATTTTCCTCAATTTTCCTGTCTTTTGAAGATACCAGAGGAGCAATATTTAATATTTTCTTTACAATTTCTCTTGCTTCCATTTTTCTTCTCACTAAAGCTTTTAATGTTCGTGTCAGCAAAGCAGAATTCAAAAACAAATTTAGCATAATTTTCAGGCAATTTTCATTTGAACTGATTGCTCTTACAAAGCATAGATTTATTTTTTTTTTTAAGACCTGACAAATGCCTTGTACACAGGGACTCTGTAACCTTTATTTGTGTTAATGTAACTTTTTCTGGTTGCAAATGTGAAGAAATGCTGCATGCTAATGTTACAGCCAGTGACACGTTAGGAGCAGCCAGTATTGACAGCACAGGAACAGTCAAGCAGAAGATAATGGTGTGTGCTGGAACTGGGCCAGGAAAGAAGGATGGTTTTGAGTCCCTTTCCCCACCCTTGTCCCAATGGTAAAATGGGACAGTTCACATACTCCATCACTACCCAACCTTCAAATTCAGTTGCTGTGATTTTGTAGCACAACTTATTTTCTTTGAATGGCCATGCTGCTACATTAAACTAAGACCCTGTGATTTTAATTACTTTGTAGAAGTGCCTGTATCTGTAGTTCCCAGGTACCTCATAAATGCACCCAAAATTAAAAGCTCAGCTCACAAGTGGCTTGGGCTATTTCAGCTACAGTGCCTGTGCATTGTGAATGTATCACGGCAGGATAGCTTCAGCAACTGATTTCTGTGCTGGCTTCATGACTAGAATTCCTCAATTAGCCCAGCGGGTAAATCAGCACAGGCATGGGGCTGCACACCCTGCATGTGGGCAAGGCATGCAGCAGGGCCATTTGCCACAGCTGAGCATCCTGCTCCAGGGCAGGGATGGTGGTGTCCATGGAGTGGTCAGACCTAACTCACCTCTCCCAGGGCCAGAGCTCTCAGCTGCTCTCACACATTCACTCTGCAGTGGCAGGGCACAGCCCGGGCTAACTGGTCTGCACCCACTGTGGATGTGACACAGCGCTGTCCCTGTGAAGAAAACCGCTTTGTCCGTGTTCCTCTGATGCTGCTGTCACATAAGTACCTTGGTGCCAATGGATGGGAAGCTCCAGCTGTCCCTGAGCTGTGTTAAATACCAAACCCAACAGTGTTAGACTGGTTTTGCCAAGGTTTGAATCTTCAGAAGATATTGCAAAACCATCATCCTTTTACTTCTTTTAGACCTGAGGCCCAGATGATGGAGAGAGACCTGTCTTGAACCTATCCCTGATGTTCTTGCACTGGCCAAAGCAGATGTACAGTTTAAGAGGGCAGCTGTGGGATTTCACCTTTTGACCAACCAAAGCCTTTTCTCATTGCCACAGTGCCATGTGTTTCAATCTTTTCAGAGCAGTACTCTTCAGTCCTGCTTAAAGGACTTGATCCTGCACCTCCCCAGTGCTCAGTGGAGCTCACACATTCTACCTAGTTGCTGTCACACCAATAAGCTGCACCAATCTTTTATTGCAAGACAATGAATTGGCTGACTTTTGAGAATGCCTCCAAAGAGATGGAGAGAGCACGGTGCCACCATGCAATCATGGCTTCATGTGACATGCTGTGATGTGGCACCTGTCTGTCTGCACACTGCTAAGCCCATGTGTCAGTACTTAGTTCAGACACCGTGGTTAGATGAACCACAAAATTCCTTGGCTGTTGTTAGGACAAGAAGTACATGCCTTGACATAAATGACCTCAAACATAAGGCCCATGTTACAGCCACCACAGAAGCTGATCATTCAACTTAAACACACTGAGACAATGTCCTGCCACCGAAACCAGCCCCACAGTGTGCAGCCTGGGCCCCTACTTCCCGCTATGTCCTCCATCCTGCAATAGGGATGTCCACAACACAGACCTGTCCACCACGGAGGGCCTCTGGCTGCTCATCTCTGTAAGCCCTCAGCCCAAGTCTGCAGTGAAGTCACATCTCCAACCCTCAGCTGTGCTAGAGCCATAAGCCAAGGAGAACATGGTTAAGATAACTGACCATCTTCTTATCATGACATCATGTGGCAGGAACAGGAGGGCTTTAGAGAACCATGTATGTATTGCACTACAGCATGCTGTGCTTAGGAGAAGCTGCTCAGAGAATATCTGCGTTACTACCCGCGCTGCCGATCAAGCAGCCAAGGTTGTGCTTGCCAGATCCTGTGGTTATTTACTCTGGCACAAAGTTAAAATAACTCTGTTTGTACTGGAGCATGAGCAGAATTTAACTCTTACTTAAAAATAAACATGCAAGCAAGGAATATGAAAACATGTAAGAGTGTAAGAAAATATATTTATTAAATTCCATGGCAATACTATGGTAAAATTGTTAAATACATGCGTAGTTTTAGACACCCAAGCAATACAACACGAGTTACAACAGCCAAGCAAACTAAGTTTAAAACTTATGCAAAGTTGGTATCTTAGTTAGGTTAGTCTTAAATGTCATCTGCCACACTGGAATATTATTTCCCCAACATGATCCCACACTTCCTTTTTTCAAGCATGCATTTGTTTAACTGCTTAGCTAATAAATTTTCATGTTGATACACTTAGTTGAATCAGTATTTTACTTGGTATGCTACAAATTCATTAAAGTGCCTTGTGATGATTTTGTTTAAATTGTGAAAGAAATATTTTTTCAATAGCTGATTTGGAAGCTGGAAAAATTCAGTGTCATTTAGCAACAGAAATAACATTAAATAATTGATTAGATTTAGTGCGTTAGGAAGACTATTTTGTCAGTTTTATTGATTGATTCTCAGAATTTATTTCTATAGACAACTATTTCAAATTGGCAAACAATATTTTCACTAGTATTAAACAAAAGTCATTAAAATCTTTGTAAAAAAAGAACATAACGAGATCTCTAAACAAATTATTTATGTTGCAAAAAATATGGTATAAAAAGAGCTAAAAAAACATTGAACCTGTTCACAGTATATTTTTTTAAAGTTACAGCATTATAATACAACATTGGGTTTTTTTCAGGTGATCGGTATGACTCCACCAGCTCTGCTGTTCTGTGTGCCACAACAGGATCACAGTTCAAATTAGTGTTACTTTCGAGTAGTATTTCAGACACAAGTCGATTCAGTTATCTTCTTTTTTTGCTATCCCCTGCTTTACAAACTTTTTTTTGCTATCCCCTGCTTTAAAAACTTTTTTTTGCTATCCCCTGCTTTAAAAACTTTACAAACTTGAAGCATATATTATTCATCCTAAGCCACTCTTGAATCACACTAAGGAAACACTGACAAAGTGATGTTCAAGGATTCTTTTTTTTATTGTATTACTACTAAAAAGTGTGAGACCTTGACAGTTTCTATGTTAATGTGCCCTGCTTAAGCTAGTTTTAAAAAATTTTTCTCATCCCCAATGATGAAAAAAAGAACATTTCATTTTTTGCTTTGTCCCTGGGTAAGTTTTACTTACTACATTTTACTCAACATGAGGCCAAATGAGTTGCAAAGGTATTGAACCCTCTCATGGAAGTTGTGCATACACTTCCACAGGAGCTTGCTTTCATGTTAACAACAGTTGAAGTGCTGATTTGCAAAAGGCCAAAAACCTACCAAGAGATTTTGCTGGGTATCTCCTTAAAAAATAAGGATGTCATCTGCTCTGCTGCACCACTGAGTCACCCGGGGAGCACTAGCACAAAGAGAGGGTGAGACTGGAGAGGGATTAACCCCATCCTCTCATGCAGCACCCTGTTAGAGAACTTCACCTGCATGAGAACCCGCTCTCGAAATACAAGTGTCTTCTGAAGACTTTTTGGTTCTAAAAGCAGAAGGAATTAACAGACGTTTTCGTGGGGAAAAAATATTGTCATGCACCCTGGGACAACTTTTAAAGTTACAGAAACCCCTGCCAATATCATCTGAGGTTTGTTTGCATAACATGCAAAAAGGAAACAAACACTGGCTATCTTAGAAACACTGGGGAAAATCCAGAGTTATATAAATGAGGAGGAAAGAAAATTGTTATGGAAGAAACTGTTTTCCAGCTTCTAAGGAGATATTTAAAAATTTAAGACAGGCCTAAGCATGAGGAAATTAGTTTTTAAACATGCCAACATTTCTGAATCCATGTCTGGCATTTGGGGTCTGGGACTGTTTCCAGGCTTGCTAAGGAAAAGGCAAAGAAGAAGCCAACAACAGATCTTGCAAACTGCCAGCAGCATCTCTGAGCATCAGCTGCACAGAGCACCACTTAATGCACAGCAGCACAAACTCCCATGTACTGTGCTGGGAGGAGTGCAGATGGCAGTTGTCTCCTCTAGACGGAACTGCATCTCAGAAGGCATACAGTCAAGTACAGGGCTCTGAAAAAAATTGCTTTGGGAATTGCAAGCCAACTTCCACTGTAATATGCACCTAGGTACACAATGATGTAAGCATGTATGTGCGGGTTAGGACTTTCCTTAGTGTTAAAAATATTAATGCCATTTGCACTGAAGTCTTCATCAAAGTCTGTGGCAGAACAGAAGATGCTATTTACATGGGAAGCTCTTGATAGATTTATGGTACATGGAACCTTGTTAGCAATCTGATGCTTTAAATGTTACATTTTTCTTATGTATTTCAAATTCTTTCACTGCATTTCTATCTACTTGTAGGTATACAAATATTCTATTTACAAAGCAGTATTTGTCTAAAAATAGAGCACATGATTTCTCATTGCCTTTTCAAAGTGGTGTTTAAACACCTTCTGTCTCCAATGTATCCAACTACCTTCATTTCTGCTGCTGTTCATGTTCAGCTGAGTGTCCTGGAGGACAAGATCACAGAGGACACCACAGCCCTAAGCTTTACTCAGCTGAATGTAGCAAAAAAAAAGAAAAAAAAAAGGTGGCTTGAACGTGCCTCTTCAGAGCAGCCTGAAACTCAAGGTCAGCAGGAGCTTGCTGCTGCCGTGTTCCCAGCAGAGAAAAGCTCTGGTCCCCTACATAAACCAAAGATGAAGACGCACAGCACATTTGCCAATTGTGCCATGGCGGACAACACGGCTACTGGTTCCCTTTGGAAATGGTTCACCCATGAAAGCAGCAACTACAGATAATAAAGACAGCTACCACAGCAAATGTCAGTCATTGGGTCTTAGGTCTGCCTATGCAGCCATTGCATAGCAGGGGAGGTAATTCACCACCTGCCTGTAGTATTAGCTTACTCTTTTGCTGATTAACAAATAGTTCTGTGAGGTATATCACATGCAGATCTACCATTCCAAAATTTAACATACAAATCTAAGATCTCAGATCCCCCTGCATGTCAGAACAACAAAAATAATGAATGTGTCAAATAGGAGAGTGCATGATGTTACATCAAACATGACTGATGTTCCACACATACAGTGAACAGTACAAAACCCCATTACAAACACCAAATTGTCACATATGACAGGCATGGCTCAAAAACAAGCAGCACCGATGATTTGCTTCAGAAAGAAATTACTTGGCATTAACACCCTACATCTCTAAACACTGATCCAACTGGAGGATTGAAGCACTAACTTAGGAGTAACAGTGTTTTGGACACAATCCCTTCTGGTCATATCCCTTCTGGAAGTTGTTTTTTTGTTTTGTTATGGTTTTTTAAGAAGCTGAACTTTCTAGTCTTCTAAAAAAAAACCCCAAAAGCCAAAAGAAGTAAAACAAAATAGGTGTTCAATAAAGAAATAAGATCTTTCAGAAAATGATGGTTAGGAAATGCAGTATTTTTAAGTTTTCCAAGACATTTTTCAGAAGTAATTTGACTGAAAAGGCTCACCAGGAAGCCCGAAGGCACAAGTGCAAGGAGCCTGATCCCCTCTGAAGCCCAAAGTTTTAGTCTTAAAATTGTTATTAATGCAGTTAGAAGCTAAACAGCACCGTGATTTGAAAGTGAATTTGGTACAAAGACTTTCCTAAAGAAGCTTCACTGGTTTAACAAGGCACTTGGGCTCAGAAAGCAAGCCTGTTTCCTGATGGTCCCTGCCACTCTCCCTGCTCCATGCACCTAGGGGTGTCTTCACATGATCACTAAATTAGCACACAACCTCTCACTGCCTATCTGGTATTTGCATTCACTACTGAAGATTTAAGATAGGCATTTGAAAGGAGTCTACCAACTAAATAGGCTCAAAGAAAACCACAGAGGTGAAGCAGCTGAGCTTTTAAGTGCTGGAATGAAAACTACTTACTGGATTATAACCATTAAGGACAGTAAATGATGCTACATATACTGCACAAGCCTGTGTCTCTCCCCCATCTCCCCCACTCTTCTGCTACTGACACAAGACAATGCATATGGTAAGCCATTTCTATTAACAGGACTCTTCTGCCCTACATCCTGGAAGTCAAATAGGATATATAGTCAAAGTTTTTTAAAAAAGTGCTGGGTAATTAGATGACAATGCTTTGATAGCATCAAGGCAGACCTTTTATTTGTGAACCTTTTCCTTACCTAACCACTAAGAAATTAACGAAGCAGCACAAAATGCTGATACCTTTACCGAACAGGAACATCCGCACAAAGTAAAACCTGAGTATGTGATGCTTGTGTTTAAGTGATTCACCATGGGAACACTGTGAAGGGTGTTAGGCTGCCCCCTGCAAACTCTGTGTGCGCGCCCTGGCTTCCAGTCTGCCAAATTAAAAATTGCTAGCACTCTGAAACTTCAGTTTGGTTGTGTTTCTTGCAATACACAGCCATATGAAAACACAGTTATTTTTCATGATCAGCTGTTCCACTACAAAAGGGTTTTTTTGTTTGGATCACCATACAATACTGATTGTTCCTCTGTACTGAGAAACTGCTCCATAAGAAACCTAAAGTACTACTCATACACACTGTCTGTGACATCTTCTGCTTTCAGTTAAAAGCATATGGCAGCACAATCTAAAATTCATCTTAGGAGGTAAACACGTTAAACCAAATCTGCATTAGTAAAAAGAAATCAGCTCGAAAAGAGAGTGTGAGAAAGGGTTGTTACTACTAGGATTTAGCCACCTCTCAGCTATCAAGCACAAAGGGCAGGACTGCTTCCTTTTATGTATTAGTTTAGTGTTCTAAGCAGTAATAGATTAGGCATGAAACTTTCTCATCACCAGTGATGTCTGTTGAGAGATAGATACCAGCTCTTTGCACTGCCTGCCTGTCTCTGCACCTGCTGCTCTGCTAATTCCAAGATTCAACCTCAAAAGCAGAATCCTAGCTGTACTTTCTGTTCTTTCAGACAGACCTTGCACTCTTGTCAGGTCTGCAGACAGATATTAATTTTACTTTCTTCACAGTACACTCATCCAGGAGGCACGCAGAGGAAGTTTTTACTGATGATGATTTCAGTGTTATTTAATGTTTTGCTTTTTTATCAGTTTTTAAATCCCTCTGTATTTTCATTCTACAGAGATGTCAGAGATATACCAACATCTGAAACTGTACCATCCATTGCTGCAATTAGGTTTAACCTAATGCTTGGTTTTATTCTGATGGCCAGATCACATGGTTTGGAGACCAAATGACTGCCATGCTAGCCATCCTCCTGGTCTTCTCTCACACCTTTACAACTAGCATCATAGCCTCCTTATTGGAGGCTTATCCTTATTCGGCCTCCTTGTCTGTTTTGGGATCTTGTTTAGAAGACCACTCCCCCCTTATTTATTAAAAAAAAAATCACAAAGTAGTTAAGGAAATTGAAATCTAAAAAAAAAAATTCAGTTAGGACTTTACAGACACCCTTCTAGATCAAGCTCTTTTAACTTGTGACCCCTCACCACAGTGTTTTATAGTAAGGAACAGATAAACTAAAAAGCACTTTCTCCTTTAAGCTAGTGAAATTCATGTCTGCCACAGTCTGAAGCTTACACAGTGAAATGTTACAGCTGCCTAGAGATGGATCTGAAAACAAGCATTTTCAAAGATGATTGTTCTGGGCATTCCTTGCACAAATGTATATCATTTAAGCTTTCTTTGTATTATGAGTCTGGTAAAGGAGAGGTAGAAACAAAGGCACTAAAACCTCCCAGGATTTTTCCCTGTCACTAGAGAAATTTCACCTTGTACTCCCAGGTAGAATCTGCAGAGAATGTCCCATTGGGTAGACCCTGGAGAACAGCCAGGCAGCAGGTGGCAAAGCTAATACAATAAAGACCATCCAAAGAGCAATTTGTTCTCAGGGAGCTAGTACTACTACCTCTAATTTCACGTGCCAAACTGCTTGGACAACTAATGCGAGTTGACAGGGGTTTTCCCGTGGCTTATATTACCGTATAGTGCAAAGACTGCTGAACACCAGGGGTGAATGGAGCATTGTAACACTCTGATGCAGGAGATGTGGAGCTAAAGCTATGAAATACAAAATGCATTAGTGCAATACATTAGGAAAGATTAATTCCTTAACCAAAGGATAGAAAAAATATAGAGCATCCTAAGTTAAAAAAAAAAAAGTTTTAAACTTTATGCAGTTCTTGTTGAGGTTTAAATCAGTGTTATACTTTTTTCCCCAAGTTTGTACCCCTGAGTCAAACATTGAATAAACATTGTACAGTAGGTACAGAAGCTAGTGTCTAGTTAAAAAGCAACAGATTTGAATGGCCATTGCTTCAGAAGTGTTAAACAGTGACAATACCCTTTGTATGGGAAGAGAAAAAAAAATAGCACTCTCATTTGTTCTTAGTTTATAACTAGGCAAAAGATCTCAAGAGTTTCCAACCACATCATTTCAATGTGTTGAGGTTTGTTATAAATGAAACTTTCAGTAAGGAAATCTGTTGGGGCTGCATCATTTGAGTATGCACAGTTGAAAACAACTACAACAAAGCAAAGCAATCTTTCCAAGTTATAAATTGCATGAGATCATATTAATCTTGGAGCACTATGTGAAGGCAGGCAGAGTTCTCAGACTACGATTATCAGGAGCTCTAAACTCAATACCCTTTATATCCAATATATTTTACTAGAGTAATAACTAAATTGCTATAATTTTGGCCTCTTGGCCTCTATTAAAATGGAATATTAACACTTTCACTAAGTTAAACATGGTAGCATTCAGCTCACTAGAACCTCTGCTGACTGTCTCCAAGAATAATTCATGCCTTTTGCACTTTTCTTCTTACTTTCTTTACAACATAAGAGCTTATTTAGAAGGCAGGTTCAGGTGCAATGAGGACTTACTGTTAATCATTTGGTTTGTTCTGAAAAAAGTGTGTAAAGGACCACCCTATATTACTGGGTTTGGGAGAGTCTTCATCATCTTTTGGGGGAAGCAGAAACTGTCGAGAATTAATGGAGCATGGGCTCCCAAAAGATGCATTTTCATTGTTGCTTTCAGCCGATCCAGGAGAGTCTGGAGTGTCCATGTTCCAGGCATTTGTGTTTGCTTGAGGTCTGTAACCTGCAGTTTTATCCAACTCTTCCTCTGCAGGTGAGCAACTCTCTATTTTCAGAGCACTGACAGGCAGCTGCATTTGTGGCTTATAGCCTGCTGTAGTCACTATTTCTGGCTCCTCCTCTGGTTTAATCTGAGGCTGATACATTGACTGGATATCAATGTAAACCACCTGAGATGACCCCACAGGTTCATCCATCGGGGGACTTGAGATCTCCTCTTCAATGATAGGGGGGCAGTAGGACACAACCACGTGGTTCTCCGTTTCTGAGTCAGAGCCATCTTCAGGCACAGTGGTGTCTGCTGCTGGGGACATCATCTCTGTGTCTTCAATCTTGGGAGCTGAAGACCGGGTTTCTACCACTTCAACACTATTGGGGGTGCATGGGTTCATTTCCAGTGTTTTAAGTGTCTTATTCCCCTGAGGTGAGAAAAAGGAGAAAGGGGAGGAGACTAAGCAAAAAGACCTGAAAATCCTGAAAGCAAAAACTTGCCCAAATTAAACCATTACATTGGCCTGTGGCTTGCACTCATCCCACTGCCATTAGTACAATATTTAAAAAAAACACGTGGTTTCGTTCTTATTTTCTGGCTCATCACATTTTCTGGTTAATGTAAAAAGTATTTTAGCTGACTTAAAGAGACTCCAGAGCTTGCTTAAGTGTTTGAGAACTCTCTCCCCAAATCTCAGCTTTGTATAACCCATTCCACAAGGTTGTTTAAATGTTACACCCAGTTCCAGCTATGATGTCTACCAGGAGGTTAGGGATACGGCATGTATATTTCTCCACACTTTCTACTTCTCCTAACACTATGACCAACGTGTACATTACTCCCACACTGTTATCATGCACTGACACTTTTCATTAGTTCAAGAAGAGAGAAATGCAGCAATCCTTTCCCAGTTCAAACATTAAGCAGAAAGCTCTAGATAGCACCTGACAAAAGTTACTGAGTAACTTGTCTTGTTCCTCCCTTCCACGGAGCTTTTTCTACAACTGGAGCAGAAGACTCAGTTTGCAAAAAAATTCTTAACTCACAATACCTTTCAGAAGTTTAAAATGAGTTACCTCACAGATGTTCTTCTGAAACTGCAGTGCCTTACTGTTCTCAGGATTTGGGATCTCTGGATAAAATGTTTCTTTAATCCTTTAAAGAGGAAAGAACAGACTTTTAAAAGTTACCAAGTCCTGAAACAGATTCTGGATACACAAAAGGAGTCAGGACATTTCCCTTTAATTCAGAATACTGAAGACATCTGGCACAAAGATTTAATGTGTGAAACTTTCCCTAAGTATTTAATGAAAAAAACAGCAAAACTTGTTTTTTTTAAACTGGGGAACTCGATATGCCACGTTTATGAGAAGTTGAAGATGGGATGTCTACCTGAGTGTTTGTGGATGGCTCACAAATTACAGTATGTCGCCAGTTTATTTTCATTTGGGAACTATTTATAAACGGTGCTCACTGGGAGACAGGCTCCCACTAAACCTGTTTGCATTCCTTACTCTGAGCTCTCTCCAAGTCAGTTTCTCCATCACCTTCCACAATGTGTTTTTGACACCCACCTCTAAACAAAGCCCACAGACATCTTTGGGTACTTGGAGAAAACAAAGAGTAACTAAAATAATGGAAAACACTAGCACTGAAGGAAACACATCCAGAAAAAGATCAGAGCCGAATGCAGGCATTTACCATTCCCTCTTTCGATAGCAGAAGATGCTGGCCACCACTCCAAGCAGCACAACCACTGCCACAGGGATGAGAATTGCAATGATTAATCCTACAGCTGGGGGATGAAAAAAGAAAAGACAGTAAATATATATCTGAAGTTACCAGCAAGTTTTATACATTTTCTCACATTCCCATAGATTAGAGACCATTTCATTAAACTCATCCAACAGTTGTCTGCAGACAGTGACCTATATGATAAACTTCCCCTTTGCTGGAAGGGCAAAAGTCCATCCATAAACAGCTGATTCAGTGATACTACAGGAATCAGCAGATACTTCTCTATGATTACTTAATTGTGAAAGGATTCATGTGCAACACAAGACTAATTGCCACTGTAATTCTGTTCTCAGTAAGCACTGGAATTGCACTTCCATGTTACTTGAGCTGGCCAAACCTCTGGTAATGGCTCTTATAGGCCAACAACTCATTGCACAAACTGCAACTGCCTTTTATGTGATTTACGATGCTTCTAATCCCCAGGGTTTAGCTCCGATACATTCCCACTGCCTTCCTCTATTGATGTTAAGTGCCTCAAGTTTGATTTTTTGTGTGTTTTAGTTGCACCCCAGCATTTAGCTTTTCATATGCTTTTTTTTTTTTCTCATTCCCCAAAGTCAGTCTTTTTTTTTTTTTTTTCCTAACTGTCTTTCTGGGTTTGTTTCTGTCAGGGGATTGATAAAACTGAATTCAAAGGAGAGAGGCATCTGTTTATAATTCTGAAACTGGTAGATATTTCCACAGTGTCTTTCTTCCCATCATGTATTAGCAGATATTCATCATGGGAAACCTGACAAAAAGAACTAGCTGCTTGAGAAGACTAAGTTCGGACTCCACCATATTTAATTCTAGTTCTTGCATACATTACCATTAACTACAATGTAGCTGTAATAAAAAAAAGATCTTTTCCTCACTCTGAACTGTACCAATTTTTGTATTTAAAAATAATCAACTAAATAAATTAAAAATGAGACTGTAAGCCCAAACTACCTAAGGGATACAGAAAAAAAAACAAAACAACAAAATAAGCTCAGCTTTATATACATTGTACAGCCCCTGTGCTGAAGACCATTAATGAACAGGGATATTCAACTTACAGTCCTCCTTTGTCACCACATAGAGGCTGTTTGGAGGGCTCAACCCACCAGCAGTGTAGGCTTGTAGGTCCAGTTGGTAACTTGTTTTGCCTTGAAGATCAAGTATTTTCAAAGACTTCTTTGTTAAGTCAGTGATATTCTTAACTTTAAGTTCTGGATTCCCTGTTTGTTTGGAAACAGTAAGAAAAGCATAACTTTGTAAGACAGGATTCACAAAGACAGCCTCAGCTTTAGCAAGGCTTTCTTGAAGTCAGCATATGAAACCTTAAGAACAGTTTTGTGTAAAGGAAAACTGAAATAAAGAATCCTGGCAATGCTGCTTGCTTACACAGCACTAAACAGCACAGGGCTGTGTTGGTGCTGCAGGCTGGCTTCAGTTTCTTATACTCCTGCTTGTCCTCTTACATTAATGTGAGTCAGGCTTCAATTCTGCACAGAGATGTCCTTGCTGGAAGAAAATACCATAATTAAATATAGCCATGTAACCTCCCTCATGTCTCATCTACTGAGGGTATCTGTACACAGGGCAGTGTGTCACATTGCCACTTTGTCACTACATAGTTTTATGGCCTTAGTGAGTTTTCTCTGACTTTTGCCTTATATTAAAAAAACCCAACTGTGCTAACCACACAAGGAGCTGATTAATTCAAATGCCTTTGTCACATATCAGGGGCCAGTTATGTCAGTGAGTAATGCAACCGAATTATGATTAAAGCATCTTTTTTTAAAGTGAAATTGAATTATTAAAAAAAAAAAGAAAAAATCAATCCAACTTGAGCAACTAAGTTGCAATCTATAGATTTCACTTACCTGATTCTGAAAGTGTAGGCTTTAAAGCATCTTTTTCACCTTTTGCAAAGGAAAGTCGATATCCCTCTAAAAAACCCTGACAATCTTCAATAGGAATGTCTTCCCATTTTACCAGTATAGAATCTGAAGAAGTTTCTTCTACAGTAAAATTTGGTGCACGTTTTGGAGCTGTAGGGAGAATTGCAAAGGAAAAAGCTAGTAAGAAAACACCTTAACATTAAATGCTGAATCCATGTATGTGCTTCAACAGTTTTATTTCAGGGCTTGCTTTTTCAACTTTTTCCTGAATACTTTTCCCTTACTGTCAAAAAAATGTGAAAAGACTTAACAAGTGATCCTACAAAAATACAAGTCTGTTGGTCTCACTGCATTAATTACTGCAGTATTATCTACTAACAGAAGCTGAAAAAAAATCTCTCCTTGGGCAGCCTTCTTACAGACCCATACATGTAAATACCCTTCTTCCTGCAACAACCCCCAAAAGATCACATAAACATACAGAGCATACTAATTACTTAACTTTTAAAGGCTTTAACTCTGTACTTTATACTTTGTCTTCAAACAAACACCACATTCGTATCATGGAAATTTATCTCAGCTTAAACAAACTATTCTTAGCAGGCATCACAAGTCATTCTAATATCTGTACCCCACTGGAAAAGTTACAGCAGATATTCTGTAAGGTCATGTGCATCAGGAATTAGTCTGACATTTGGCATTGATCTACCAGTGCTGAGCTTATCTTTAACAATGCTTCTACTTTTGTCTTGATGCTTATCTGTCCAAAAGCAAATCTTAAGTTTTTGCATTAATCTATGCTTTTGTGCAAAGTGAATACATTTCTCAGTTCCTAGTAAGGTTCTTCTGCATGTTCAATATATTTTTAGGCTGCCAAAGACTTTATCCTTTTACCTTGAAAGCTTCCAATCTGTTGAGAACACATAAGGAAAAACCTTCTGGGAAACCATTCAGGATTTTTAGAGATACAAATGGCTGAAAGTTGAGTTTCTGGTAAAATTGCCTTAACCTCACATTCAGCCTTAGCAATGAAATAAACAGTGGCATTTCCAAGGGCTCAGATTAAGTGAGCAACTCAGTTTTCCAAGCACATTAAACTTCAAAGCAAAAGGAGTGCTGTGGTTACAATACATTACAGCTATGATGTTAAAGGATAAAGCCATGTTTAGATACCTGGGAACAGAAAGCATGCAGACACTAATGCATCTCCAGGAAAGCAAAGTTCAGACCTGGATCAAACTGCAGTTACCCAGATGGGGTTGGTACAGGAGGGAATACAAGTGCAATTCTCAAAGTGGCTTATACTCTAGGATTTAGTTCTGGTCTAAGAAAAGCTTTTAAACAGAAATGTTATGGACACTTTTTATATTTGCTGAGCCGTACCAAATGTGCTCAGAAGTTTACTTTGACCTGACAAATCAAAAAAAGTTGCCTCTTCTCCTGCAGAAGTGACTGCAGCCCTGTGGTTGAAATTATGCCCATGCCTTCAACTCTGAAGACCACTGTATTCTGAGCACACTTCTGTGACACTGTGTCACCACACAAGCTGAAGAACACAGTGTTACTGCATGCTGGGAACTGGAAGTGGCTGGAGAAGTGTATTAGAATTATATACACAGATCAAGAAGTCAGTAGTACTATATGGGGATTTTGGTGTCAAATCTTCTTCTGCCAACACCAAGCTAAAAGTAGACACAGTCTAAATTCATTTTGTAAAGATCCTGAATGATGAAGTGCACTTACGGAGCTCTTTTATATACCCAGTTATGTTTTTCAATAACTGATATCCACTGGATTTGCAGCCATATAGTGAAAAGTTGTATCTCACACCAGGTCTAAACAGAGCTGCAAAAGAAAATTAATGTAAGATTATTTCATTTATGAAGAGTGATGTTTTTAGATTTCAGATGATACTTATATAAATACATATTAAAAAATTAAAAAGTCTTAGACCACAGTGTTAGGTATAAATACTATCCCTACCTGAATTCCTATAAAAGCTATGCTATCAGATGCAGTTTAGAAGCATAAGCAAATCTAGCTCCCGAAGAAATTTGGGTTCTAAACAAGTGAGATTCAAAACAAGCTACTCAAATTGCATAAATTGCTCTTTCCATGGGGAAACACAAACTCAAGTTACCAGAAACAATCCTCTTCCTTTCCTCCCACAACAGTCGTGTAGATCCTGCCTCCTCCTCAGAAACACAAATGTATTTTGAAATACCCAAGCTTATTACAGCAACAGTACAAAAGAAATTCAGAGAACTCTCAAAAGTGATAGTGAAGCACTTCAGACATGAACCCCAGGCTAGAACTGACTCTACAAAACACAGATAGTGATCAAATTTCCGCTTCACATGTCTTTGGTGGAGGCACAGGTGTTTGATAGTACATGTAAATAATTTACCACTTCCTGGAATTTTGTCAAGTAGGGGTGTACACTACTTTCATGATTTTTTCTAAAGAAGATGCCACTGTCAAACTCTACAGAAGTCAAGTGGGTTTTGCCAGAGTTTGGGTCCAGCCTGAAAGATTCACCTGGCAGGACTAAGCACAGAGGTAGGTTTGCCAGCTTGAGCCCAGCCCTAGCACCCTGGTAACTCCCACACCACACTGCAAGAAGCATCCCAGGGAGAGCTCAGGACTAGAGCATTGGATCATTGGACAAACATACTATTGCCTGGTTAAGTAAAAGCAAGGTTTAGACAGCACAAATGAAAACATGGACACTGTTCTAATTACAGGCAGGAAAACATATTGCTCCCCTCTCAGGTCCCACTCACCCTCAACTTTCCTACATACACAGTTCCAAGTTGTTTTCTCTAATGGAGACTTTATATTCTAAACTATTCTAAAAAGCAAACATATACCCTTTTAGATAGCACAGAAAAATCCCACATTTTATTTGGGTCCTCTTCTTCTTCTTCTGCTCCTACTAGTCCCATCACAGCTGAGTTTCATTTCCCTGATCTGCCCACCAGCATTTAGAGACCTGGAACGTGCCCTGTTCCAGGAAATTTCAATTGCTGACAGCAAGCCAACACATGGAGGTCACACTTTAAAAAAATCTGTCTCATGTAAAAACAACGGATTAGTCTTCCCCCATCCTGAGCAGCACTGTTTATGTTTAGAATCCAAATAAAACCCCAAACCCTAGATTAACCATTATGTATTACCCTAGAGTTAGGAAGTTGTTGGGTGTAGCTAGAAGAGGTAATTTCAAAACAGTGAATAAACATAGGATGATAACAGTTAAGTCAAGACTGATATTTGGATTTGGCAAGGCTGTGTAAGAAATTCAAATAAACACAGTACCAAGAAGGGGTTCTTTTATATACACAAGCACACAGCAATGCAACAATCTTCAACCTACAGCATTAGTACTGCTCTCATTCCACTTGCTGCTCAGGCTCTCAACCAGGAAGACTCAAAAAATTATTTCTGACTTACCAGACTTTATCACTGCATCTGTTGTATTTGAAGGAAATTTCTGCCAGTCCACACTACAGGGTTCAGACCCAGATGAATGACACCATTTTACTATGTAGCCACAGGTCATGTTGGGGTAAGAATTCCAAGAAATATAAATTCCATTCCCCATTGCCACAGCCCGATCTGTTTTGACATTGTCTGCAACAAAGACGATACAAAAATCCATCAGAGAGCAGACACTTATCTGTACTTCAAGCTGAAAGAAAGCCTTCCAGCCACAGCACAAAGGTTTTATAAACTGAAGTCATTTCTAAGAATGAGAGGCGCACTCCTGGTACTGTGAAATTCGAAGTGGTGCACTCAGCTATGCTTTCTGAAGTGCTGGAAATCAGACGTAGCCTGCAGCAAATCCCTCAACCAGCCTTAAGTACGATGACGAGAAGTGCTGAAGCTCAGGACTGGCTTAAAAAGCACTTTTTCAAGGTAAGGATTTACAGCTGATGTCAGGTTCAAATCTGACTTGACACCGATTTGGCAAGAGCCTCCAGCTATAAATTCCTGCTGTCATTTCAAACAGCTTGCTTTGTGCTTCTTTCAAAGTGTCTTGCTGTCACTCGCCCAAGCACAGAAAACCATTTTTCACCAAGAATCAACAGCAAAAGTCAAGGCATTGGTGAACTTTACAGAGGCTCCAGTCTACCAAGGGTAAATAAAAAAAGCGCTCTATCTTTAGTCTGTTTGTCTTGTTTCTTATTATCAAGGGTTTATCTGCCCTTGAAGTGATCAGATCTGGGAACGACTTCTGATTCCTGCAGCTTCCCTCCATGACTGTCCATCAGATGGGACCCTGCCGAGCTAAGGGATATTTTCCAAAGGCCACCACAACAGTGGTGGCCCCACTCTCTATCTGCAAAAACAATCTCAGGGTTTCAGTTTTTCCTTTTTTCAGTGTTCTCATTTATGCTCCCTATTGAGTCTATTATTTCATGTTATTAAAACCATAAACTATGGAAGGCTGAAGGGCAAGGGCAGTTTTTAAGAATCACTGCTGTGAAAACTTTACTCTCACAGACGTGCTGTGAATGTCGAAGGACAGTCTATTTCTAAGTAATTTTAACATACAGCTAAGTGTACAATCCTTTTCTAGCTTGCTCATGGCAAGAAAGATACACGATCTAAAAAAGCAAGTCAACTCCAGAAGTCTTTCAATTCCCTTCCCTAAAAAATTACTATGCATCCAGGGAAACTACACTTCCATGACGCAGGAAGAAAACATATTTCTAATTAGACTGCTTTAGCTTTCCTATTTACAGGAAAGACTTTTTACTGACAGCGAGCACATACTCTCTAAAAAAAATGCTTAAATACACCATACTCAATTTTATTTCCTGAGCCAGATGACTAGAAATCCACCTATGGCAGTACTGCTCATTTTAGTATTTATAGCTGCAACTTGGACTAGTAGGAATAACTACTAGTACTATAGTACTGCTGTGGGGGGAGTCTGTAACAGACTGATTATATGCCCCAGCTCTGCAGAAAACTTTTCAGAGACAGTGACAAATTAATTAAGGCAGAGTACCCTTTGTTTGTGTTTTCAGTTTTCACAAAAGCTCAGCAGATCTCAAGCTTCAGAGCCACTGCTCTCTTATGGACATTAAAAGCACTTACAGACTGTACGCAGGAAACAGCCAGAAGAGATGTTTGGGCAGAACTGTCATCCAGTTCAGTGAATGAGTCATCTTTCATGACTCCAGTCAGTGACTCAAATAATTCCTATACCAACTTGGGAGCAAATCTTCAATGAGTACAAGTTGGGTAACACCAAAAGCAACCTCAGACATCTGAGAGAAGGCTATAAATGAAAGCAAAGCTCCACTTGCCATCGGCTGTCCCACACCACAAATCTATTACAAGACACATCCCTGGCTCCCAGAGTCTCGTTCTTTCACTGCTGAAGGAGAGCTATTAAAGTACTGTCATTCATTCAACTGTCCCATATAATTACTTTTCCCTCCAAGGAGTAGACTAGGACTATACTTATAGGTATTGGTGTTTTGGAGAAGCACAAGAGCAAGAGTTTTCCTTTGCATAGAAGCAAACTTGTTTTTTCTCTCACTGTGAATCTCAGCCAAAGCACATTTCTTCCTACAAGAGATGGCCCTGCCTTGTCAGAAACTAAGTTGCAAGACAGGCAACTACAATACCTGTTCTCTGGGTGGGGAAGAAGAAGCAGCACCCTAAAAGTTCCTGGTAAGCAAGCAGAGAGGGCCTTACTACATAAATCTGTCCCTCCTGCAGACCTTGAGCTACAGCTTTGGGCTTTGGGAGATGACACTCTTCCTGACAAGCAGAGAAGCATGGACTCTCAACCACCACATGCAATATTATCTTCTCCCCAAGCTCAGTGTTGGGAGCAGAAAATCATTATCTGGCTCAGCTATCTTCATTTACAAAAGCCCGCAGCAAGGCTGGCAGTGCTTTAATTGAGAAGTTGAGAAGTCCTACCTCCTTTTCAAACACCAACTATTAGTACAAGGATGCCAACGCTTTACCAACCAGCACAATTAATATTCTCCTGCAGAGCTCAAAAGCACTGAACTGACAATTTTCCCCTTAAAAAGCCCCACAAAACCTTATGCTGATTCTCCTGAGCATGTAACACTTTTCAGAACCTAAACAAGAACACACAGAAATAAATTGAGCTCCCTAAATGTCAGAGATTGATGTTTTGATGCTCTAATGCTTTGAAGCCTTATCCTTGTTGTTCCTGGGAGGTCTCCAGAAAAGTGCAAATAGCTGCAGAGGTGGGGAAATGAACAGAAAACCAAAGACAAAAAAACAAAGCATGTATCTATCTTATTTTTCAAAAAACAAACTTGCCCAGGTATTCCTCAAGCTTTGAAGGTGTTTAGCTCTTTGCTGGGAGCACTCACCACTTGGAAGTTCCACACTTGTTATCCTCGAAGGAGGTGATGAGCCTGCATGGTTTTTGGCTACAACACTAATTATACAGTCACTTGTCCCAAGTTTTATCTCAGTACTATTTGAGGGTTCAGTGACTTCTTTATGCTCCAGTGGTGTCTCTAGCAGGTAGCAGGACACTTCATGAGACACTATTTTTCCATTGGCTTCAGAAAGGGATAAAGGCTATGAACAGACAAAGAGCACATTAAGACCAAAATGGAATACACAAAAAAAGACACAGGATAATATGAATGTAAGGTCCTCATCTAGTCTGATGACTGTGTAAGACTATGAGATATTCAAGTGTGACTTTGAGAATTAACACGTAGGCTCGTTAGTTTTTAATTTTCATCTGGGATATATTAAAAATTTAATTCTTCATGTGAAATGCCTCTCAATCCAATGTTTGAAGTATAAAATGGTAATAATATTCTCATTTGGGGAAAAATACTTGTCTTAATGGATGGTTCTATAAAAAGTGAAGAAAAGCAGACTGATTTATTGACTATAAACTTCACTAATTTATAAATGTTTTCACAAAGTTACATTATATGATATTTTAAAATTTTAAGTGTTGCATCTACCTTCCAAAAGATTTTTAGACTTTTTCCAGAAGGACTTTTCTCTCTCCAGATATCTGGCCCTCTTGCAGGAGCTAAGAAAAAAAAAAAAAGAGAAAAAAAAAAAGAGGGTTTTTCCTTCCCCAAGTTGCACAGTAGACAATTTACCAGCTATTAAAAAATTAGGTTTTTTAGATGGCTGATTTTAAAATATATGGCTTCACAAGTTCAACATTTTATCATCAAAGAATTAAATAAACTTACGGGCTTCCAGTGTTGTATGCTCCTCTATCCTGCTCCAGTCACTCCACCGCCAGAAGTGGTCAGCAGCCGAACACCGCACCCTGAACTGGTATTTGGTATATGCATGCAATGCGTTCAGCTGAGCTGTGTAAGTTGAGAATTCTCCACCAGGCATGGAGACGTTGTGCTGTTGATAATTTGCAGAAATTGACATGATATATATATTTTTTTTTTTGCTCCTAGGTTATGTTGAAAGTCAACACCTAAAAAGGTCCTATTTTTCCCCAAGAATACCAACAGTGAAAAAAAGCTGCAGTCAAGTCCTACAAAAAAATTAATGAAAAAGGAAAGTATTTCCTATGTAGTCACCCTAAACAAAGGTTAAACAAAGGTTTTCAGAGATCTGCCAAAATAATGTCATATGTAGCACAGAAGTTGAAATATGACCAGCAGGTAGAATCTTTGAGATATAATGCATGAAAAGGAGAGACAACACTGATGAGCCTTCAACAGTATGAGCTCTGCATACAACAGTGGGATGTTGCTTCCCATCTATCCCATACAGTTCTCTCTCCCATGAGCAGCAAAACTGCTCACATGAGGCCGGGCAGGATTTCATCTCTAGTATTCAGAGCCTGCACTTCCACCATGCACATGCACATCCAACTGAGTGGACAGAGGCCTTTTTCCTAAGACACATGCACAGAAGCGTGCTGAAGACAGTCCATCTGAACAAGATGCTTATCACAAAGTCTTCTTCCTAGACAGTCCTTTTTCCTTTGAAAGATGCTATCCAAGTCCTACCCAGGTGATCTCTGTTCACAGCTCGTTTAACAGGACTAGTCTCTCCTATTACTCTTAAAATAGTGTGAGTCTAGGAATTATTTCATTTTCATGATTAAAGCCTCAGATTATTTTTTTCTGAATCTAATTATAACACATGTGCATCACAGCTGCCAAAAACTGGACTCCCAAGTGACTTTAAAATGCAAATAATTGTGCATTTCTAAAGCCAAATGACAACTTGAAAAATATTTAAAAAGCCAACAATCTCTCATACAGATGAAAAAGCTTCTGAAAACATCCTCAAAATGCCATGTAAAACCCCATAATAATTTCACAGCTACTTTCATTTATTACAGAGAACTCTTGGACGTTTTTTATTAAGCAACAAGAGACAACATAATAAGGCTATAAAAACTTCTACCAAGCTGTTTGCTGTATTTCAAAATATCAGTAGCTGCAGGCTACAGTGAATCAAACTACTGTGGCAGCATAAGACCTTACCGTTTCCCACTGCCCCAGATGACTGACCTAGTAGCAGAGTTCACAGGCAAGTGCGTACCCCAGGCTTCAAGCAGCGGCACTGGCTAGACAGAACTGTGCAAAACTACTTTTTTAGCAGTTTAACTGAGCTTGGGGTGGGTGACGCTTGGCTGCTTGTTTCCCCTGATGACTGCTCCAAAAGCAGTAACTGTTGGGAGCAGAGAAATGCAGACAAATGGGGATGATGGTATCTAAAAGCCAGCCCCTTCTCCTGTTAATTCCAAAGATATCTATGATTTTCTTTGCAATACCTAATCTCTGGGTACTACGTAAAACATGTCATTACAGAGAAATATAAAAAGTTAAGGTTTTCACACCCATCAAGTTCTTTGAAAGTATTTAAAAAATACTCTTACAGAGCATGCATTAACTACTACCCTATTACTTTAGAGGCAATGTATATAATGATTACCTTCTGTCTTAGCTGCATAACTTCTGTGGCTTGAGTGACTTTATTCAAGGATGTGCCCAATAGCTGTGCCCAACAGGCAACTAAATGCAGTGCGTAATAGAATACTGCTAAAAATCAAATAAGCATCGTAAAAAGAAGCCTCTAAGGTTAATATGCTCAGATTACAAATTCAGGCTCTGCACCAAGACCTGATAATTCAGCATGGGCTTACTCAAACTCCTTCTGAATGTGCAAACAGAATTCGGAGCTGAATCTCAGGCCAACTGAACATCCAATTCTGCCATTCACCAGATCACCCCCACACTAAGTTAGGCAGTATGGAAGTAGACGATGTATTCCCACCGCCTACACTCAACATCTGATGCTGGTGTCTAAACTAGTATCCTAAACTCTTCTGACAGTCAACAGAGTAAATATGAAGCTCCAGTCCATGATGTGGAGCACTACTCTGCTGAGCAGCAGCTGGAAGCCTGAATGCCAGAAAATCTGAACCCCACCAAGAAGTACCACCTTTTCTCCAGCTGCAGAGGTGTTCACTGGGGATCACCTACTGATACACCCAGTGGGAGAATCCTTCCCTATCCTGTCTCTACATCACTGACATACAAGCAGGTTTAGCAGCTCCCTGTAACAGCCACATGCATGGCAATTGCTGACAGCAAGCAAATTAACTCTTCTCTGAGAGAAGGGAAAGGAAAAAAAAAAAAAAAAAAGAGAAAAAAAAAAGAGAAAGAAATTCAACTACAGACTGCAAAAGGCAACGTGAAATAACAACTGTAGAAGTCCACAGAGCAGCAGTGCATCCTGGAACTGTGTGTGTTAGTATTAACATTTGTCACACAGCATGTTACCTAAAGGGTCATCATACAGCACCATGGACCCTCTCCAAGTATCAAATACCATGGTGGTTAATTCCATCCTCCCCTAAATTGTTTAAAACCAACCAAAAAAAACTCCAAAGCAGTCAACAACATAGATGAGCAGAACTTTTTCTGATTTTAGTAGATAAACTACTAGTCATTACTACATCAATCATTTAATAAGATGATCAGAATAAAGCTCTTGGAGAGAAAAGAATTTGAAATGTGATTAGCTCAGTGAAAAAAATCTACATTTGAGTAAAAAAAATCCACTAAAAGCAACACTTACCAATCTTCGCTCAGAGTGACCACAGCTAACTTCAATTTGACACAGAAGCCTGATCTCAGCAAAGCTGCCATTTATAAACCAATGCAGATGGACACTTGTAGAGCTGTTCCCAGAAACAGTTAACTTTTCCGGAGCTTTTGGATGAACTTAAAAAATAAAGAAAAGGAAACCCTCAGTTCTAAGAAAAATCATTCATTTTAATTCAGAAAAATCTGATTTTAAAAGATCAATGAGAATCAGAAGGATACATAAGTGATCCAATCAGCAACTAGGACAGCTGGTGCTAGGGTGGCACCTGCAAGCAGTCTCATTCCTGATGCTCTTCTCAGCTATCAAACATGGAAACAAATTTAATTAAGGTTAAGCATACTGGCACACGTGATAAGGAGTTGGAGACACAGAAAAATTTCCCCTCCTACTGACTTTATCAAAAAAGCAAAACACAAGGTATTTCAGAGGACCACAGTGACAGATGAAATTCACTTAACTTTGTTTACCTTCCCGGAACTTTTTGAGTCAAAACTTAAAATCGACAGACTAGGACAAGGTAGGACACATACATGACTTCTCCCTTTCCAAAACTCCCTTTGTGGAATTTTTCTAATATTCAGTGCTACTATTCATAGCTATCAGAGAAAAAAATCTCTACTGTTGGAACTGGTCCAGTTACCCTTAAGGAAATATGTACTCTGTGTTGGGAATTAAGTGGACAGTGAGGGAAAGAAAGGAAAGGAAACAAATAGGAAATAGCAGTCGTATCGATCAGGTACAAAACAGCCCAGCTTATAATTAATAGAAACAAATTATGCTTTTCTAGGACCTGCCAATTTACTCTGACAATTCTAATCTCAGGCTAGTTGAACTGGGACATTGACAAAAAACCCACACCGTCTTCACGTTTAAATTCAGCTTTTCACAGAGAATGGAAGGATGCTGTAACCATTAGGAATCCCTGAATCCCTGGGTGTGGTTGTGGAGGAAGATGGAAAAGGATGGGGACAACAGCACTAGAAGGGTGATCATTTTCTCTCTTTCCTTGCTTAAACTGAAGGTCTAATGAAATAAGTTACTTCTTTCTACAAACCACAACAGCAGACGATCATGGCTATTACCAATAGCAGGTAATACTCCTGCTATTACCTTTTACCATTTAGTGCTACTGTTGTAAAATAATACTGTACATAATATTTTGCTCTATAAGCAGACACTGAAATACAGAGTCACTTACAGTTCACAAAAGTTACACCTAAATTTTAATTATTGATGTGTAATAGAATATGAAGTAATACATAAACAGCAGCTGGCTAATTATGAGATCGCCAAGTGGCATTTATGAACACCGCAGTGTATCCAACCTGGTAACGTTGCTGTTGAGAACTGGCATCTCCCTGTACACCTAGTTGTTGCCTTGGGACATGTCCTAAGCTGTTTTCTTTTCAGATTCAAATTATTTAACACAGTAAAATACTGGTGACAGTAGAACAAAATAATGACAAGTATAACATGTCAGAGTTCTTCAAACTCCAAACAAATTGTTAGCATGCAGCAAATGTATCTTTTTGCCTCTGTAATTCTTAAGTACTTACCTTTTTGAGTTAAATCAACCAAAAGCAATGACTCTGTTTGCCCAATAGGATTGGAGACACCTAATACAAAATCATAGGTTTTTTGATCAGCCAGTACTGGAAAGCCACAGACACGCTCTCTGTTCATTTCATTGACTTCACATGAGACATTTTTACCAGATATTCTACAAAGTAAAAAGAGGGGAGGAACAACTTAAGTTTTTAATAAAATAATTTCTAATAAGAGTCAGAAGTCTAGACTGAAAATACAGTAGAGAATGATGGGTTCACTGACACATGCCTTAACAGAATTATTTGATTGCAGAGGCATATCTAACACCACAATGCAGGTTAAAGTGGCATCAGTCATGACTTGCCCTGTTCTCATATGAAACTCTCCTCTTCCACTATCATAACATTTCCATCCTCTCACTTTTCAAAAGCCTGGAAAACAGGTTGGTCCTGTAAAACCGCCTCACAAGTCACAACTAAGATTCTGATTTAAAGTATCTTTGTTCAGATCAGCATATATTTGCATTTAAAGCACGTTCTTAATTGCTTCCTGAACTAGGGAGATGCAACATACATTACATCTTTCTATCAACCCTGTCAAATCTAAACTAAGGTTTGTTAGCTGGGATACATCCCCTAGTCCCAAATGATTTGAAATCAAAAGCAGGAGAAGCAGTCTGGTAACAGCCAACACCAGAGCTACATCTTTAGGAGTAAAATCTAAAGTGAGTATCTGTATGTATGTATATATATAGAAGCTGCTTTAATTACACTATGTGTAAACCTCTCATTCATCAGCACAAGTTTCATTTTTTCCATTGGACATTTTTACTGAATTCTAGCTGAACTCTTGAGTTCTTTCCACACCATACTCTCTATGTCAATAGCTCAGTGTGGGTTTAGAACAAAGATGTGAATATTTACCCTGAAATGCATCACATTAATCTCCTCACAGCTTTGGGCTGAGCAAAACAAGTCTGAACTACACTCCCGTTCATGAGCTGAATACAGGCAGCCAGTGACTGAAGCTTCCTTCCCCTGAATACCTGCCTCATTTTGTCCACCTCTTTGCACCCTACTCAACGACTACTTTAGCCCTAGCATTCTGAATGACATCTGTGACCAAAACCCAATCTTCATTGCCTCTGACTTGCTTCAAAGCCACTGTAAGACTCCATTTCCCATCAGTTTGTGTGACTCAGGCCTCTCCTGGCTCCTTTCCCCGACTACTCCTTTGGCATTAGAGGGGAGCCTCCTCACCACAGAAATTTTTTTAACTCCTCACTAATGTCTAATCATAACTACCAAGGAATTCCATTTGCAAGTGCTATTCCAAACCAACAGTTTTTCACTTTTAAGCCTTTACATGGCATACAGTGTAAAATAAACTAGTGGGATACCAGCCTTCACTTCTTTCTGTGGATGATGCCAATGTAATTTGTCCCTTTCAATTTTTTCCAGGTGACATGCACTTTTCCTGCTATATACCATCTAATTCTTAATGCTGGGAGGAGAATGGATAGCTTATAGTTGATTGTTATTTTCCCTAGTAGCACTGGGGAAATGCCCCATGGCCTGTCTTAGGACTGTTCCTCAGTGAGTTTCTGTCATCCTGCACAGCAGAAGCTCAAGTAAATGTCAGACTGATGATCTGACACAGGTTGCATATAAAAGAATTTTTAAAATTAGTGAGTGACTCCTACTATCTACCTATATTTTCATATTGGTCTTATCTACATGTTGGCAGCAGCCCACCACAATGAGCTTTTGTATTTTCTCATGAGTTTATAATGGTATGTGTCTTTGGGAAAAGTAATCCTTAATTCCCATTGGAATTTTGCAGGGCTAGACAAGGGTTCTCCAAATTTAGCTTACTTTCAACTTCCACAAACTCTTGAAAAGTATTTTAGGCTCTAACAATGGAGACTATCTCATTTACATAGGCATTGTGCAGTTCGTCACAGGCAGCAATGGTTATATTCCAATTCTACACTCTTACTCCTTTTAGTGCTGAATTGGTTTACCTTTCAAATAAACTGTACTTGGTTCTTCGCTTTCCGTATAGTCCACTAGGTCTGCCTGGTTTCCAGGTACATTTTATTTTCAGGAAGTTAGATGTTTCACAGCTGAGGTTTTGGGGAGTATCAGGGGCATCTGCAGTATGAAAGGAAACCAAAATAGTTAGCCAATGTTTTGCCATCCTGGAGTGACAGCTGGGCTGCTAGCTTCCTGAAAGCATCACCATTCATTTTGCTGGGTCTAGATTGTGTGCTTCACAAGTACATGGTAACAGTTACACTCCAACCATATAAATAAAAAATCCCAATAAAACAGATGAATAATTATTATCAGCACCATCTGACTAACACTTGACTAGAGGCTTCTAAGTGGGTGGGTAATCTGGTAAATCACATGCAAATATGTTCACAAGCTCCAGGCTCTGACCTGGAAGTGTTTCACTGAAACTCTGCCAAGACTCTTCCAACATTCTGAGCATCAGTTTAGCCACTGAGCAATGTAGGAGTGCTGTTCGCTGTGCGTCACATTTTCTTATGTGCCAGCCCCACCGCTACTTTGAATTCTTCAAGCAAGTCGTGTCAAGAAGATGTTCCCTTTAGCACGAATTCCACACTGAATTTGAAAATTAAAGCAAGCCCTGAATGGCTCATCCTCTTCACTGTTGCTTTGGAAATGCCTGTCTTTTTCTTTTAAAGCTTGTTCTTTGCTCCCATACTAAAATGTTCTTTAGTGCCTTCCTGGAGAAGATGAGCAGTGGTCCAAACAGAGAGGGTTCATGTTAACATGAAACTAAGCAGAGCACTTATTTCAAGTTTCATACACTCCTCTCCAAAAGGTAGTACAATAATATCCATGTAGCAGCCCCAGAGAAGGGGCACTAACACAAGAAGCAACAGTGGCAGGTTTAGTTCAGATTATAAGCAGTAGGCTAAAAAGAACACTTATTTTGCCAGACGTAGGCTTAACCAAGGTGATGTACATACACACTTACTTCCTTGACCTTTGCTTCCCCAAATGTCTGTCATCAACAAAAATATCATAAGAATTCCACTTCCTTCCCACTAAGTAGGTACCAAAAGAAGAAACACTGGCAGGTAACAGACTTTACCACATCCCAGATCTTAAAAAAACACAGTATGGGAAAAACCTATGGTATTATCGTCCCTGAACCACTGACTTATTTACCGAGAAGATTCCCCTCACAAAAGCAAATACTGCACAAATAATGTAAAAATGACATCTCACTGAAAAGTCATAAAAGGTTTGATTCTGTTTTGCATTTGCTATTACATATTTAATAAACAAAGTCAATGACAAGAGGCACAGGCTGGAGCTGGGAACACACTTTCAATATTAGTCCAGTTTCTTCTCTCATTTCCCTCAACCCCAAAGACCCAAAGTTCAAAGGCTGGCATTTGTAATGGGGAACAGGATTCTAATGGGCAGCTATTGGAAGATGACAACTCTCTAAACCCCTGTGGGAAAAACACACAAAGCTCTTAAGTGACCAATTATGGAAAAGAAGAACCAGGTACTTTCTGATAGAGACTAGGGCTGAATCTTCATATGGCAATTAACTACTAAGTATTCCAGTTCATGAAGAAGTGCCTTAGAAAAAGAGATCAAGGACAGAAGCACTGTCTGGGCCAGGCTGTAAGAGAAGAGGGCTTACATGTGTACCTCCTCAACCTCCCAGCCTTAGTGTTTTCTCCAGGGGCTGGAGTTTCCACAGTGAAACCAAACAAGTACAATCCCAGTTCATCCTCAAAAACCAAAGGCCAGGGATAAAAAAAAGCTTCTTAGCAGAGCCCTAAGAGACTTAAAAATATTTGTATTTTACTAAGGTTAGTAAATATAATGATACATACACCCTACGAACAAGACAGTTCCATCCATGTCATCTTCAGACAGTCTGCACACCACATTTGTCCCACTGGTATCTGAAGCACTGGCATTCAACACTCTGATTGCACTGCTCCGACTGCTCAGACGTATCATTGGGTATATTTCTGGTCCATATGTCATCCGTTGTATCTGCTGTCCTTTTTCATGAACACAACAAATTGTCACATCTGAACCTACTGCCACCACAGTGTCCTGAGGATATACTCCACTCCCATTTGGCTCAGTATCTTTTCCTAGCAGAGAAGGAAGAACAGAAAAAAAACACACACGAACAATTTGCTATAAACAGGGTGCTGACCAGCTAAAACATGACTGAGGAGCACTCCAATGCATACAAATCAATGTTTATTAGGATTCATTAACTAATGATTGCATTATTTCTCTAATCAAAACACCCCCAAAAGCAGTAGCCCATCACTGCCTAATGCTTTTCCTCTGATTTTGGCTTAGTTTTCAGAAAGCAATCAAAGTTCATGTAGTGGCAAGGGAACAAACATACCAGGGATCTCTTCTATTGGGCTCCAGTCACTCCAATCCTTGGGGCCAACAAACTGTGTTACATTAATATAACAGCGAATCTTCACATAGTGCGATGTACACTCTAATGGCATATCTGATGTCCAGTTCCAAGAAAGAATCATGTCTTCATGACTCAGTTTTGAATAGTAAGTTACCTACAGAGTTTACGAAAAAAAACCCAACAAACAAAAACAAACAAAAAAAACAACAACCAAGGGAGAGTGTACAAACACCTGTTAATGACATAATCTCACAGGTGTCAACACTACTGCAAATTAAGTGAAGTAAATCATAAAATCCTGATAGGTTGTCTCATCTAACTTTCAGCTGTGTTGTGAATTTACTTGGACAAAAGCCAAAGATGCTAAACAGCCCACCAGCCAGGTAGACTGACAGCCAGAAATACCAGAGGGCGGACATTTGAGGGAGAGCAGGAAGCTCGCCAAGCATTTCAAAAGGTATACACCACATCCCAGGATCCTGGGCCTCTCCCAGTCAGGGAAATGTTCCAACTTTTCCAAAATTAAACTCTTCTAATATTAGTCCCAGGCTGCACATTTTATCTTTTCTCCATTCCTAAAAATTATAGAACAGAGCTACAATTTGGCCTAGAATAGCTGTGGTCGCAAAAAAAAAAAATAAGGAAAACTGAACATTCAAAGACCACCAAGACTTGAGACACTGTTGGAGAATTAAAGCAAAGATAATGGTGTAAAGTACCTGCCAAATTCATAAGCCAGTTCTAATTAAAAAAAACCCAACAACTGTACCAGATTTAAAAAAAAAAAATGTTGTAACTGTGAATAAGTACTGATAGTACAGTATTCAGTGTCCTCATAACTTTGAAATTTAGCAAGAAGTTACCTACCAGAAGCATGACTACACTCAGGTTCTGTAAAGCTCTAAAGTCTTCATTATTCTCAGCTTTCTTCTGATGACCTCCCAGGATATTACCAAGAGCAAAAATTTTCACAAAGGAAAAAAAAAGGACTTACTTGTGTAACTTTTTCCATTGCTTCTTTACGGAGTATCTGAATCTGCCAAAACGCATCCAGTCCGTATAGGAAGACTGATCCATTGTCACTCCACTTCAGATTTAATGTGGAAGTTGAAAAGTCAGGTGTTAAACTAAGAATGCGTGGAGTGAGAGGAACAAACGCTTGAAAAAGAGAGGGGGAAAAAAGCCATATCCAAGTCATTAGTCAGCAACCAACTCTACAGGTGTGTAAGACCCACATCTCTCTGCTCTGCACTGGCTAGTAGCCATACAAACATGTAACTCAACCTCTGTAATAAGAACAAGATGGGCTCTGTCATTACTTGAGCATGAAAGTTCCCAGGAAAGCACAGGTGCTGATGAGTCACCAGGTAGCATTTTCTTTTAACATCTCAGCATGCAGATGTGTGAGTAATTGATCGTGAACATGACTCTTCAAAATGCATAGTAAGAAAGACATCATGTCTTTCACAACCTTCATTCAATGCCTGAGAGATAAAGGAAACATGGAAACAGTCTTTGAAGTGTACATGAGAACAAATCTAGGGAGGATGATGGAAAAAAAACCCAAAGGAAGAAGTGGGTTTTGGACACCAGCAGAGAAGAGGGGACTGAGAACAACAGCAAGAGAGGGAGAAAGGAGAACAGAATCACAAGATGGAAGAAGCTCACATGAGATTCTGAAGAGAATCATGGTGAATGCAATTTTACCCTAGAAGAAATATTAAAGGCATGACATGGTGATGGTGACAGGACAGGGAGATTAAAGAGAAGTACATCTTCTATTAATGGGTGGTGGTGAAGCAAGAGGCTGAGAAGCAGGCAGCGATTATTGTAGTACAAGAGTTATGGCAGTTCCCTGGGCCTAGTGCAGGATAAATCCTGGTTTTAAAATGTGTCATTTACCCACTTGTCCTGTCCAAGGCTCTGAGAGCATGCAAAGTGTTCAGCCCAGTCAACACACTATCCAGGATAACCTGTGATGAACCTGAGAGACTCATCCTGCTTGAAGTCAGCAAGATACTGGAGAACCCAGGGTGTTGCCCACATATTTTTGTGTTTTGTTCAAATTGTCGAGCTGCAATCAACTGGAAACTGAGCCATGGATAAGAAATGCTATTGATTTTAGAATCTGACTGCACTACAGGAATAAGCATGCAAACCAAACCCAAAGACTAAATTATGAGCAAGTGTGGCAGATGGGGTCAATGCCATCTTCAGCTTACAACTTCATCCTTTGGAGGGAAGGAATTGGGAAAAAAGTCTAATTTATCTATGACTCAACATGATGCAGCCTACCTCCCAAGCACAAACATATTTGTTCAGTTTCATATACATTTAAACAGATTAAGACAATCTGATCTTGTTGAGAGTGACATATAACTTCCCTTAAAATATTGTGAAACTGAAGGTATAAACCAACTCATTCTGTAGTTATTCAGCATTTAAAATGGAAGAACAGGCACTAGGAAGTTTATTCTGCCTTTCTCAAGCCAAGTTTGACCAAATGCACTTTCTGCACCATGCAGGTACCTCAGTATGCAAATTAGGAACTTTTTTACAAATCCTTCCTAATTTACAATTAGGAAATAAAAAGACAAAGAGTGATTAGGGGGATGTAACAGTGTTGTACTTCTTTTTCTTCCTCACATTCTACCCTTGATTCCTCTGCTATGATAAAAGGGGTTTTCTTTACCCTGAAGGGGGAAGACGATACAACCTATTATGTACAGTAGAATCATATGGACTCAGCACATCATTTTATAGACAGGAACACTGCCAAAGAAAACTGCAAGCATATACACTTCTGGAGCATTGTTAATCACAGTATAAAGGCCTACATACATAAAACCTGATACTTACAGATGTCTTTCTTGTGAATTTCAAATTCTTTGGTAACAAAAGGAGTTCCAGAAATGCTGTTTGTGGTTATTGTCATTGTGCTGGAGCTCTCTGGGACTGGAATCTCGACCTTTTTCTCCTTAGTTTTAAAACACACTGGAGGGGGGAGGTCACTGAAAAAGCAGAGGGGATTAAGCAAGTATTTCAGCTGATAGGAAGCTAAGGCAAGTTAAGTCCTATTCCTAGGACACTAATAAAACACAAATCCTCTGTAAAACAGAGAGTTGCATATGAAGTTTTGAAGAAGTAAGACTTCCATGGGCTTTGGTTAGTATCAGATTAACAAGCAAAACACTTTTATCATGGTGATAGGCTGTGCACTACTTGTATAATGCAGCTACCTAGTTGTTAAAAGAACACTTTAAAGTGAAAACCTTAATTTTTAACCAAAAGACACCTACAGTCACCATGAATCAACATTTCAAAATAAGCAAAATAAAAAAACCCCAAAACGCAATCTTCACTTCGCTTTATGTTTTCTGACTCTCTCTCCCTACATTTCTTCTCAAAGTGACTGCATAAGGGTGCAAAGAACAGGTTTACCCATCTGTGTCCCCATCTTAGAACAAATCTTTTAGCTCCCTTCAGCTGCTCAGATTGCAGGGAAAAGCAGAGGGCAGGGGAGAGAATTGCTAAAATCCCATATGGAAACACAGTCTCTGCATAATGTTTGTGCAGTGCTCAGCACAATGTGATCTGGCCTTTGTCTGGAGTTGTAGATACATACAGGAAACAATAATGGATGGGTCAAGTCCCTTTGCTCATTATCACTGATATGTAACTAGAAAGGCAAAAAGTTTGGAAAAATCCAGATCTTCCTCTTGGGATAATGATGGGAGGAAGGAAAGCAAAGAGAACAATGCCAGACTTCCTGCTGAGGGACTGTTACTCACTTATGAACTGGAACAGGACCCTGGAGCTCCCATCAACTGGAGTCAAGGGCTTGGGTTGAGCTTTTAAGATTCATGCAAGACTCTGGGCTAGTGGAGGCCAGCTGAGCCTTAAGCGCTCAGAATGGTATTCCTCTTCTGTACTGAAATATATTAGAGGATATTTGGGCAACTGAAAAACAAAATCTTTCCCCCAGGGAGGTCTGCATTAAGCTCAGCTCTCAGCCTCTCTGCTTCAGGGACCCAAGACTGTTGTGCTTTGCTAAGGAGAAACAGCAGCAGCTACATGATTGTTCTTGTTTAGAGGGCAGTACCTCATGAACTCTACACTCCTGAACTCTGGCCATAATGTCACATATATGCATTGTTTTTGTACAGAAATGATAGCTGGCAATGCAGTATGTATAAGTAGACACAGAAAATCAAACATGTAGGTGGAAGAAGTGCAGCCAAGCCCTGGGACCCCAAGGACAAATCTGGGCTGCCTGAAGAATTTACAGGAAAAAAGACAGTACAAATATCTGGATTGGGGGCAGGATCAAGATGCAAAAAAGATTTGAACTCATCCCTAGCACATGATAAGCATTTGGCAGACCCACAGCATGAGGAATTGAACATGTAGTTCTCATTAGTGAAAAAAACACTGAAGATTTAAGGTTTTTTTAATGTTTCTCAAAATTTTCAACTTGCATTCACTTTGGAAAAGCTATTGTAATTGTGGCATAATTTTTACATTTCCTCTAATATAGTGCTCTCCAGACAGCTTAAAATTTATAAATGTTTTAAGACAGCCACCAAGAGATTTTTCAGGTTTTTCCACATGTGAAACTCAACGCTTAGGTCACATATTCTACCACTTTGGCCCATAACATCAGGATTTACTTATTCCAACTATCATTTCCTTTTGGATTGAACCTGGTATAAAGATGTCCCTTATGAAAACTCTGAGCAAGGGCTAGGCAGACACACAGAGAAGTCTGAGTAAACTAGAGCATCTTCCAGTCCTTTGAAGAGAGCAAACAGATACTGGCAGCAGAACTGTTAGCATGAAACAAGACTTTGCCAGAAACCCCACCACTGCCTGAGTTAACATGCCTGGATGGAGCACCACCCAAGGAAAACTGATGGGGAGATGCTGGGAAACAACAGCATCACAAATTCCATGGGCAGTGACTGAGGAATAACTATACTTTCATGAAACTTTGGTAGTTTTCAACTAGGTATGCATGGGACTTACTTGGTAGTGTAGCAAATGTCAGTTTGTCCATGTCTTCCTTTAGAAGAGACATCCCAAGTACAGATCATTTTACGTAAATTGTGCGTTATACATTTCAAATTCTGGGGGTGCCCCAGAGATCCTGAAATCATATAAGAACTACAGTCACAAACTTTAGGTCAAAAAAGACCAACTGTAAAACAATTTCTGTTGTTCACATCTATGGCCACTCTTTTTACATTTTTATTGCACACATGTCTGGCCAGCATTTTAAAAGTGCTGAATGGCTTGTGTGCCAGATTACAGACAGCCACAGACCAAAAGATTTCTAGAAGTGTCTAAAATCTGGGTTTATACTTGTGTGCAACAATGCAGGCAGCTGTCTCTTTCCACAATACCCCTTCCTAGCCCAGCCTAATAAGCAGGCTTTGGGCCAAAGGCAAAACCACAAGCTTTGATGATAAACTTAATGAGATTTTTGCTCTCCTCCACTGTCCCCCATGGAGGGCAATTAATGATAGAAAGGTAATTAATGATAATGTATGAAATTGTCGCAGACATCAGACATATACAGCAAGAAGGTTTCAGTGTGGACATTTACACCAACTGCATAGGCAGACTCCCACAGTTCATTATGGAGAACTTAACACCTGATTTTGTACTGATTTACAAGATCCTGCTGGGTGCTGGAAAGCAGAGACCAGGCCTGCTAGTACCTTCATCCCTAAGATAGTGTGTGACCACAGACCTGACAGGTTTTGAACATAAATACAGTAGGAAAGCAATGTAATTAAATGGTGTCAGTACAGAAGCTACAAAGAAAAAGTAATTAGTGAATTACATTGCAATGAACTCACCTGTCTCTTGGCCGTATATTAAGCTTCTTAAACATAAAATAGCTATTGCGAAAAGGCAGCGAATGCTTGAATTCTTCCACATTCTTCTACTGTTTGTTTTCTGGACAGCAGCTTCAAGCAGGAATAAAGGTCATCTTACAACAAGCTGGTCAGTTCTAAAATTAAAAACAAAAACAAAAAAACCCCTTGAAATTCCAGAGCTGGTACTACAGAAATGCCACTCTTTGTTCCATCTATTTTTCTTCTTCAGTGCTGCTCCCAGGTGTAGCAACTCCTTTTTTTTCATTGTCTGGCAAGCAAACCTTTTCACTGTCCCAACCATTCCCTGATGCATATGTTTTCAGCAAGACATTTCAAACCTGACCTGACAAATCACAGACATATAAACTCAACTGTCCATAGGCTTCATTCAGGATTGTCTAAGGCCAGAACAGAATAGGCATGGCAGGGTATTCCCCCAGAACACGTCTCTTCATCTTAGATGAAATGTCACATTCACCAAGTGTCTTGTATACTGTGAATGGAAATGTGCCCTGCTTCAGATATGGGTTTAAGGAGACAGAAGAGCCCATTTGTTTTCCTCTCCCCTATGCTCACTTTTTATATTGTTGATAACGAAAGACAGGGGATGGCTGAGCCACTGCAAAATCGATCTGATCAGTGGTTCTATACAGTGTAAAGTAATAATGTCTGGAGGAAAAAAAATGAGAGCCATTTCTCTATCAACTGGTTAACTTGTTGCTGTAAATACTTACCTTAAGGTAAAAATTATCTAGAATATTACATTTGATGAGTTCTTTGAAGATTAATGGGTAGCATGCTTTTCAAAGAGAAGTTTGACTGTTCAGCGGGATCTGGGGAACACATTGAGTTCCACCCACACATTGGCCACTATCAGTTTTTTTTCTCAAAAAGGAAGCTGCAGGAAAAAGCTTATCCTAAATCCCAGCAACTCTCTTGTGCACTGTTTCCCTGACACCTGAAAGCTCTGAAGACTTAAGTGCCCTCCCAGAGACCATGACTCCCATGTAGCAAGGAGCCTTCTCAGTGACCAAAAGCAGGAGCTCGGCCATTTTCATGTAAGAACATAGCTGAGCCAGCCTCTCCTACAGGGCAGTTTTGTAAAAACCCCATTTTGCCCAGGTTACTTCTTTTAAAAGTCAGAAGTGGAAAGGCTCCCAATCTTGCCTTAGAAATTTCTTCCAAAGCTAGATGTACACCATTGTCAGAATAAAATGACTTTGTCTAAATGTCTCTAATTTTAAAAGAAACCTCTCCACTTAAGTCCTCTGTGCCACCAGGAGTACCTGCAATACAACCAATTTTTTTAAATTACTTTTTTTCTTAAGGAATTCTCCCTCCGGGGACAGCTGGGAATGTCTGAAATGCTCTTCTGTCCCTTACTAATCTGCACCGTATGAGCAGAAACATATCAGCTCTATGTTAAATAATACAGAGTTGTTCACAAGCAGCCACTTCTTTCTCTTGGTCTGCAATAATCAGACCGAGGGAAAGGCCCAGGCAGCCCAGGAGCTGAGAGAAATGCTATGGTAAAGGCCAGTGTTACATCTGGAGAGAATAAACACTCTTAAAACTCAACAATTATTTTATTTTCACCATGTTCTCAAGACATCTGAAGACCTCAATAAAATCATACTAATTTAAGTTATACTACACCCAGACACATTTGGATCTCCTTTTTATGTATTCTTGAACTGTAATATCCATGTCATGTGACTTGTTAAAGACCAAATCAAGAGTGAAATTTTACAAATCCACGTTCAGGTAAAGATGAATCAAAAAGCCACCACCACATAAAATATCAATAATCTCTATGCCAGAAGTCCCCCACTGCATTTTGGTGTCTCTATGGGCTCTATGGTGTCTCATAATTGCCCATGTTACTAATGAAAATATGGGATTTTACCTCCAGGTTTAAACTTTGCTCACAAACCTCTAACATCAAAAACATGAACACTCAGACAAACCTAGGAGTTACAAGAATAAAATGACTGATTTCTATCTGCAGTGTACATATAAATTATATCTGTTTGGTTGTGAGTACTTCTTCAAAGGCCAGGTCTGGTTTGCAGAAAAGCCCAAAGTCAAAATTTCAAGTTTTATATCGAAATCACTTGACAATCCCTTATCACCTAACAGAAGCCAAAGAACATGAAAGCACCGATGCCACTTGAAAGAGAGAAAACTGCACTGTTAAGTTAATTAAATTTCAAGCCTCTCACTTTCTAAACACATTATCTGTACAGGATTGTACAAAACCTGTTTTATCATGCCAGGTTTATGAGACAGATTCAGCAACTGCATGTGCTTGTGTGTGTGTGTGTGTGTGTTTCAAGAAAATCTGATTTCCTGCACTCTTTCAATACATAACTTAATGAGTAGTCTCCCTACTGCAGAAGTTTTAAAAGTAACATCATAGCAGTGAATTACAAGAAATTTGAGTCATACCAAATTCTCCTAACTCAAAAACAGTTTTAATTTCTCTTTCAGAGTCAAGCACCAAAAGAAACCTATGTACTTTCATGCAGAGCATGATGAGTGTCTCATAAACCACAATCTTTCGTAAGAAGTGTGGACTCCCTGGCTCTTGTCTTCTCATACACATTTTACAGCTTGCTGAAAAGTTGGCAATTTGAAGCCTCATGTCACATAATTAAATGCCGTTAGTCAGTAGAAAAGATCCCCATTTTAAGTCTTGTTTTAATTAAAAAGTTACAAAATAATTCAAGTAATTTAAAAGCAGGAAGTTCACTTTCTTTCAATCAAAGCTGCCTTCCATCAGCCCAAACTAATTCATGAAGGTCTTTTCCTACCCCTGGAGAGCTATGAAAAGCATGTTATCCTCTAAGCAGATGTACTCTTAAAGATGGACAGGACAATGTAAGAGTCAGAAATATTTATTTAGGACAAGAGAGCTCAATCTTGTCAGAGGAAAGCAAAATCTTGACCAGGACTGGAGGGAGTACAACAGGAGCAGTTGTTACTAAGTGTAAATGTCTTTATGTCATAAATCTTTATTTTTAAAAACTGGTACGAAAGGGATCAGCCTATTCTCTCCACCAGAAAGAGCAACTGCAACCAAACCATTTTTAACAGTTATCCATCTTAAAAAACATCAGCAATAGCACATCCCCTAACAAGCTCATTTCCTTGGACAATCTATTCATGTTACTTCACTGTCACTATCATTAGTGCTCACAATGTGCCACACAACTATCTCTTGCTTCATTTTAAGTCCATTACTTTATCCTGTCTTCAGCAAAGAACAGTTTATCCTCTGCCTTGCAGCAACCTCTTACACAGAAGATGACTGATATCAGGTCTCTACTAGCTCCTCCCTTAAAAATACCCATTTTTTTTTCCACCATTTCCCAGTTTCAGTTTCTAGATTTCTGATCATTTCTGGATCAAATATTTCTCTATGGACCAAATCTGCTGTATTCTCAGCTTTGAAATATTTCTGCCCCCTGAGGCCTGAGCATTATCAAGCACAATGAAGGAACTTTTCTAAGGCAAACCTATGTGTAGTATGTGTTTACACAGCCCATGCCATATTTGCTTTCTCCCAACATTCAGACTTTGTTGACTCAATTTCAGTGTGTGATCCAGCCCCGGATACTACTGTATAAAGCTGCCACGTAGCTATTTATCTAGTACTTCAGACTGCAATCTCATCCTCAAGTGGACTGCAAACCTCCTGACTTAGCATGAGTGTATTTGCACAGCAAATTCATCTTAAAGGCCTTACCTGAAAAGGTCTTTCACTTTTGAATTTTTAAAATAAGCAACAAGCCTCCCATAAATCTATGCCAAGGAACAACACTGTATGTGTACCCAAAAAGTATTCACATGCAAATTCATGACATATCAACAGCAAAGGCATGTCTGGCTTCAGTATATAATTGCCATACTTAAGAGCAACTAATAAAAGTAGGATTCCACAATAACTGTTGGAAGCTACAGTACATGGATATGTCCTGAATTTTGTTTAGGGCTTTATGCTGTGCAGAGGAACTACCCTTGTGTCCGTGGTCATAAAAAAGTAATGTTAAATTGCATTCTATGCAAATAAGATACACAGGAATTCAGATTTTTAATCACTGAAGCCAACGTATTGTGGCCCTTATTTAAAACAGTTTAATACCAACTGTGGACTTTTAGATGCATACAGTACACCTACTGGCAATCAGATAGATTAGAAAGTACTCCAAGTCAATATAGTGCACTGTGGAAAACACCTGTGGACAGCTTTCCTTCAAAACCTTCTCAGCTGTAAAGAAGGTTAAAAGTTCTGTGACAAACTGAGAAAACGAGGGCAGCACCAGCTGTTTTACAGAAACATGCTAAGATATTACCAGCCTCTTTAGACTTAACTTCTCAAAGGGAAAAACAGAAGATAACTGGTATCTCTCCCACTGACTGTATTTCATATTATGTATTTATTGACTTAACTGATTCTGCATATCTTTTTTTAAAGCACAGCTGACCAAACGCTTGATTCTCTTTAGGGGGAAAAAAAAAAAAAGTATTTTCTTAGTCAGTTGTAACAGATCAGTTCTCTAAACACAGAAGCTCTCCAAAGCTATGTTCTACTTCTGAGTTTTCTGGTCTCTGAATGTATTTCATTGTTAAATGCTTGGAAACGACTTTGGAAACAAACTGACAAAACAGATAAAAAAAATCAAAAATCTTTCTGGACTGCTTTCTGCCTGCAGTCCCATCTGCCAGTCACAACTCTCCAGATTATTTTTTTTAATATCTATGAACTGAGGACCAGTGGCCACACTTTTTATGGCTATGTTTGTGCTCCACAAGCAGGTATCTAAAAATAAACGGTTAAAAAGTCAGCTTATACAAAAGGTTTAGGGAAACTGTAAGTGAAGAATACTAGACAAAAACATGAAACCAGTAAACACATATGTATTAAACATAGTAGAAGAAATCCATTTGTTAATATATTTTCTCAAGGTACAATTCAATTATTTTTTCTCCACAGTTAAAGGTATCATATGATAATTTACCACCAAATGGAACATTAAAAGCTCTCAAGGAAAATGATTATATAGCACACCATCAAAAAATTGTAGAGACTAACGGCAGGCTACATTTTTGGCAATAGGAACAGCCATCTTCC